TGTGTTGTCTTTCTGAAGTGAGATGGTGTAAGGAGAGGACTCAGCTCCACCTGGATAATTCACTGGGTTCATTGGTGTGCTCAGCCCTGGTCCCATCTGAGGGCTCAAGGTGCTCAGCTGGTGTGAGTTGGATCCTGCCCTTCTGCCCAGCCCTGCAAAGGGGAAGGGGGGGTGTGAGGATGATGAGAGCCCCCCTAAATGTCCTGTTCCCCTCTTAATGGCCACCTTCTTCCTTTGCTCAGGGAAAGCGACTGGCCGACCTCTCGAAGCGCCTGGGGCTGCACCACGTTGTGTTCAGTGGCCTGGAGAACGTGCACAAGCTGACAGGGGGCCGGCTGGAGGTGCTGCACTTTGATGGCAAAGGGGAGGTGGAGGAGTATTTCCAGAGAACTGGTGTTCCCACCACGGTCATCCGGCTGCCGTTCTACTTTGAGAACTTCCTCTCCATCTTCAAGCCACAGAAGGCCCCACAGGGAGACACCTTTGTCCTGGGTAAGCAGGAGCTGTGGGTCACTGTCCTGTCACAGTGTTCTCGTCTGCTCCCACTATGCAGGGGCTGAGGGGTGGAGGAACCACCAGGGCTGTGGGCTGATGGGGTAAAGAGGCTTGACCACAGCAAGTTGCTGCTTCGTTATGGTCCTTCAGACCTGTTTGGTGGCCTGCAAGAAATCAGTGACATCCTGGGCCTGTTTGTGGTGCCGAGGGCTGCTCTGCAGATCCTGCAGTGGACACCCCAAGTGCCTGCATTTGGGATGGTGGAGGTGGGGAGGCTGCAGATCCAGGTGAGTCACAGTGCTGCTCTGGCTGTCACGGCCTCATAGCTCAGTCCTTACCATACAGATGGGTGCTCTCATCCCTTCCTCACCCTGTGTTCAGAGGCTGAGTGCTGAAAACTCTGGCTGTACCTCCTCAGAGCTGGGCTGCACTGCAGCTGGGATCAATCTCTCCATGCAGAGCTGCCCACAGGGGACACCCCGATGGACGGGATGGCCGTGGAGGACGTTGGGCCTGTTGTGGTTTCCCTGCTGAAGTCCCCGGGGGAGTACATCGGCCAGGTGATGGGGCTCAGCACCGGCAAGCTCACCGAGGCAGAGTACGCCGCCGTCCTCTCCCAGCAGACGGGCAAGACTGTGACAACCAGCAAGGTAGGACTCCCAGCTCAGTGTATGGGCTTGGCACAGCCCAGCACTGGTGCCCAGGGTTAATCCTGCTGCCCCTGCGTGCGGCTGGAGCACAGCCTGGCACCTAAACTGCCCTGTTGGCATTGTCACTGGGACAGCTCCTGCTCGTGGAGCACACAGGTGTGCCCAGGCAGGCCCGTGCCTGGCTCCAAGGGATAACTGAAGCAGGAGGTCTCCAGAGGAACCAGGGATGGGCACCTATAGAACAGGTCTCTGCTGCATGCCCTTCCCTTCAGCATGGCTTCCCCCAGGGCCTTGCTGTGTCACCCTTACAGCACTCCTAGCTCAAGTGCTGTGTCACCTTTACAGCACTCCTGGCCACTCCCTGCCCCTGCATAACTTTTTTTTAGTGTTTGTTTGCAATTGGGCTGTGCCTGGGGCAGCCAGTACAGTGGATGAGAGGTGTGGTGGCTCTCTGCTTTGAGAACCAAGTGCATTTCAGCAGAAACAAAGCACCTCTGATGCTCTCTGCAGGTTCTGCCCCCTCACCCAGGGACAGAGAAGCAGCTCTTTTCCTCCCCAGCGCAGTGCAGAAGCACAGGGATCCCCAGGTTGCCACTGGTTTCTCCCCCTCCACCTGGGGAACTGGGACTTTGTTTCTTCTGAAAGTTTTTGATTGCACCATTTGTTGTTTATTCAGATTTTTTTTCCTTTTCCACACTTCCACCTGAAGTTTCTTAATTTCTAAGTTGTAATCTTGTTAAACTAAGACACCCTTAGCCACAGCTTGTGCCCTGGTTCAGGTAAGGGCTCCCTTGTAGTTGCTCCAGGCCTCTGCCTCAGGGAAGAGTCAGTTCCATGCCCAGGCCAGCTGTGTGCCACAGCTGGGTGCTGGCTCTAGGCTTCCTTTGCTCAGCCCCAGCAGAAGTGCCTTGCAGAGCCCTCCTCAACGGTGGCAATGCTGTGACAGGCTGCTCTAACTGAGCCCTCAGCTTCCCCACACGGGCTGAGGGAAAGCCCCAGCAGGCTGTGAAAGAGTTTTTTCCCCCATTCTCTTGGCAGATCTCCCCAGAGGAGTACGAGAAGCGTGGTTTCCCCGGGGCCAAGGAGCTGGCTGCCATGTTCCGTTTCTATGCCCTGAAGCCCGACCGAGATGTGGCCCTGACCATGAAGCTCAACCCCAAGGCCTGCACCTTCCAGCAGTGGGTGGCACACAACAAGGCTGCTTTCTGAGCCTTCCCCTCCCTGCTCTTCCTCCTCAGCTTCTGTGCCAGGTAGGGGAAACTGGCTGAGGTGCCCTGAGCACCGCTGCCTTCCCAGTAGTGCCCCAGGGAGAGGCTGATCCTGCCCCAGCTGGGGAGAGCTTGGTCCATGTGCTGGTCCATGCGTGCGCTCCTGCAGCTTGGTTGAGACTGTTTAGGCAACCAGAACAGGATGAAGGGCTGCACAGCACAGGTAGATGGGTGGGAGAAGTGCTACCTTTGCACACTGTCCTCAGGGAGGTGTTTCTTTAGTCATGCTGGGTGTTTTAGGCTGGTGGTGGCTCATTTTCCCGGGATCACGCCCTTTCCCAGGCAGCTCTGAGCATAGGGCAGCACTTGGTGGGCTGAAGGTGTGTATGTATCCCTGGGCCCCAAGGCAGGTACCTTGGGACACCTTCACAGCAGGTACCCATGGCCAGTGTTGCTGCAGGCTCCTAAGCAAGCTGAAAACACAATGATTTCTCCATGGACCTGATTTAGGCACTGCAGGTGAACCAGCAGAGAGACAGAGCCCTGCAACCAGGGACTGTGCAGTCAATTCCTATGCATGTAACACAAAAGCTGAGCCTGATTCCTCAAGTCATACAGCTCTGGGCCTGACCCTTGGGCTCCTGGAGGTAATTTCCATCACTTTAGGATCATGGAGCTAATTTCAGTCGCTGTCCCCATGAGTAAAACTGAAGTCTTTCAAGACTGTCCAAGACTCAGTGGAAAAGCCCCTTCCCCCTCACCCTTATATGCTTAAGGTACTGCTTGGATTTGGCAGCTTTTCCTGTGCTTAAAATCAATCCCAGCCCCAAGAGATGCTCAAGCCACCCAACCCCTGTCCCTCCTTGTCCCAGAGACCTTCATTCCTGTTACTGGGGCAGGGAAAGCACGTGACAGACCAGGTAGAAGAGTAGACAAGGCAGCAAGGCACAGCACATGTTAAATATCTTTATGAAGTCCATCTTATTTACATGGATACAGAATCACTTTACAGACAGTTTAATCAGGAGGCAACGCGTGCTTTATTTCAGCAAATTAAGAAGGGCAAGACTACAACATGTCCCCGTTTAACTGGTTATTAGTACGTGGGCTGATGGTACCTGCACGGTATCACTAACACAGTAACCATGGGATACTCACTGCAAGAGCTCAGCTGCACCTGGAAGGAGTGATCCACCTCACTTGCACTCTCACACATGTAAAACAACGATGCTCTGACCAATCCTTTATGCTACGGGTGTTGCGCTAAGGTAATAAAAAGATTTTGTCCCCAAGGGCTTGGTGATCAACTTGTACCCGTTCAGAAGCGACAGCAGTTGTGTGGTAACTTTAGTTATTTGGGGGTTAAACCTGAGGCAAAGTGCAGATGCCACCACTGCTCTGTGCAGGCAATCAGCAGGGCTGAGAAAGCCCACGGCTGTGAGGGAGCCAGGGCACGTGGGCTCGGACAAGGCCCAGGGAGATTCCACTCAGAGCTGTGCAGGGCAGCAGGGCTGTCGTGAAGACAGGGTTAAACCTCCCTGACCCACCAGGTCTCCTGGGAGAAGGTGAGCAGTGGTGAGTTCACCAAGCACACCTGGCATTGCAAAGGGCACCTGAGCGAGCAGCAGGTGGAGACTTGGGCTCCATACAGCAAACTGCTCTGCTCTGTGCTGGAAGGACAGTTTATTTCACATTTCTTCTGGTTTGGATTCTAAATAATACTTCAACTTTAATTTTTACCCAATGAGCTTCCAGCAGCAGTAGGGCTGTGGAGCAGCCTCCAGAGAGCCCCATCTCTGCAAAGCTGGCATTTTCCTTCATTGCCAGTTCCTTGGATGGTGGGGGGGGGGTTGTATCACGATGGGTGTTGGTGCCTCGGTGGTCTGTGGCCTCTCCAGCTGAGATTCTTGCTGTGCTGCCAGCTGACATCCTGTGCTCTCCAGAGCCTGCTGCCAGAAAGATTCACCCCCAACTGCACAGATGACCTGCTGCTGCTAGCTCCTAGTTCCCAGTAGAACGTTTCCCTGCGGATGAAATGAGAGGAAAGTTTAGATTTCCTGGCTGAGTTGGCACACAGCCCACTTTGGGAGCACCTCCCCTCCCAACCTGCCACAGTCAGCCACACCAAACAGACAACTTTGAAGCCTCAAAGATGCAAAGCTGAGCCCCTGGAATCCAAGACACCATGTCTGCTGTAGATGATTCTAAGTCCCAGTGCTCCCTCAGAGCAGCCAAGACTCACTGAAGGCACATGAGTTACACTCTGGTCTGGTGTGTGGCAAGGCCTTGCTGTGCTCTGTGACAAAGGCTGACTCCTCCCTGGTGCTTTAAGCCCATGGCAGGGGCGAGTCCACCCCAGTGTGCTGGCACCCCTGTGCCTCTGGCAAGGCTGGGCTTTGTGTGGCAGAACCCGGTCTCAGTGGGACCAGCTAACGGGAACAACCTCTGTGCTCGGAACCAGGCACAGCTACGGGGTGGACACGGGAGCAGAGCTGCAGGGGAGGCCCAGCCACCTCCCCAAGGATGCACCCAGCATCTGTGCAGCTTTTGGCTGCAGCAACAATGCAGTTTAATCCCTGGCTTGTTGCTCCAGGTCCCAGGGCACAGCTAGGGTTTTGCACACCCGTGGCTGGAAGGCCTGAGGCTAAGTGAGAAGCAACCTTTTTGTGCTCCCAAGAAGTGCTCAGCGTGGGGGAAAGACAACAGTGAAACACAACAGGCCTCCTACCTCAGATGGGGTGTCAGGAGGTAAACATTTTCTTAAGTTTGGAAAGGAATCCCTCCTTGTTCTCCTCAGCCTCAGGCCTATCCCCGCCTGTAGCAGCGCTAGCCTTGGCCCTGCCACCTGGACACAAACAGCAAAGGGCCGCAGTCAGAGACATCTCCCACCAGTACCAGAGGGTTATTTTAGACAGGGAATGGTCAAGCAAAAGCAGCTGGTTGTGCTGCATCCTCACATGGCAGTAAGATACACACAACCACTTGGCACTGGAGAGATCCCAGAAAAGCCAACCAGGGGCTCAGGTTCCACCATTCCCTTCCCCTCTCCCCAGCCCTCCAACTGATTAGGGAAATCCTCACAGGCTTTGGAAGCAAGCACTTGGAACTGAGAGTCTGCCACTAAAAAGTGATCACAGCCAGCCAGAGCTTTACAGGGTTAAAAAAGCTGTCCTGGTGGTCTGTGGAACAAGCTCATCCTGTTTCAAGGTTGTGTCCTTGCAAAGCAGTGCAAAACCATACCAGGAGCCTGATTTGTGTCATTGCAAGCAGTGCTCAGACAAACAGTATCAAGGAGAAAATGAACTCGAAGTAGAATTTAAAAAGACTACAAGTATTTCAGACCAAGTGTCCAGATAAGGAATCTTGTAATTGTCCTGTATATAAAGGTCCTGAAAAGTTGTTGTCCCTCCAGAAGCGGCTACAGCAAGAACAAAGGAGATCTCTTTGCTAATCTGCTTTTTCTACAGTAAATCCATCAATAACAAGACCCCGAAATCCTCCTGAAGCTTTTTCTGCACACAGAGAACACGAAGTCCAGCACTCCCCATCCTCCCAGGGCTGAGTGCCGGGCTCAGACTGATGCAATGGAATGAAATCCCCAGGCAGAACACGCCTCTGTCCACCCGGGGCATTGCACTGCTGCTGCCTGGAGTGAGGACACACCTTCAGCAACAGCCTGTCTCTACACTGCAACCTACTGGGGGTTGTTTAAATCCACCTTGCTGCTTCATCGTGGTGAAAACTAGAAAGTTTGCTTTTTAAAAAAAATTAGTTTGGAGAGTGTTTTTTTCCCTTTGGCACACAAATGCCTTTAAAAAGCTGGAATGGAAGTTCAGTGGTCAGAGCGCTCTCCCCTTCCCCCCATGGGTGACTGTAACATGGGAAAAACATAACTTCTATATTAGGAAAGCACTATAAAACAGAACATTGGGAAATATTTGGCAGATACTGCCTTCCAGTATCCCACACCTGAGCCTATATTCCTGAGGCTTTGGCATGTAGTACAGCAGACCTGAGTTCCTGGGATCATTGAGCAGCTCTGAAAGGCTCCCACCTTTGCCTAGTCTTAAATGCCCTGTTTGCTTCCAAGCCAAAAAAGGAATCCAAATGGCTTTAAAAAGTTCATTGTTCCAATTAAGCAAGGAAAAACTGTTTTCCAGTACTGAAAGACAAAGCTCCTTCCTTATTATTTCACCATGTGTTCTACCTTTAGCTGCTGCCCTTGCCAGGTACCTCACCCCAGAAACTTAAAACAATTGCTGAATCTGTTCTCCATCTGCAGCTGGAAGAGCAGCTTCCCAAAGATCCCAGCTGACTCTGCTCCTCTATCTCGGTGGCCACTGTCTACTGACAGAGCCAACACTCGGCACCAATGGACACTCCTACCCCACGTTCCCCCACGTGCCCAGGGCACAGCCTGACAGCAGAACCTCCCATCAGCATTCCAGGAGAAACATCCTGCTGCACAGTCAGAAGCACAGCAGATGGACTCACATGGAAAACTGGCCTGAAGGACCTTGTCTTTTCCTACCTCTCTAAGGAGAGTCCTGCGCAGGGAGCCAGGGAGCAGGAGGCATTCATCACCACAGCTCATCAGGACCCTGAGTACCCCAGTCCCTGCCCTCTGTTCACACACAGATTTGACAAGTACTGGAGCAAAGCTTCCTGGGAAGAGGCTGCCTCCCTGCTTTGTGCTACAGCCTGTTAACACCACACTACAACCACATCCAAAATACCAGGCTCGGCAGGCAGTGCTGTCACAGCACCTCGAGGTGACCCTGGCTCACCTTCCTCCCCAGGAACGCTGCACACCCACACCAGCTCCACCAGGAAGGAGCAGGAGATCCCCCCGCTCACCTGACGCTGTGTTTGTGACCCCGTTCACTGTGCCATCCACGTCCGTCTCGTCCTCCGCGTAGCTCATCATTAAGGCTCGCTGGCGATCCGTCAGCCTCCTGTGGGCCCGACACAGGGCATGGTTAGGGCTGTCCCCGGGGCCAGCTGTACCTACAGCCCTCCTGAAACCTCTCCAGCAGCACCCACGAGAGGCAGGTGCTGGAATTACAAGGTGAACACACCAGGAATCCCTGCAGTGAGCCATCTATAAATAATAACCACACAGTGGAAGACGAGAGACAGGATCCACTGCATTTCACTCCACTGCAGTGAAAATCAAAAAATATCTTGAAGTGCTTGAGAAGAACCATAAGGAATAAGAATTTTCACAAATTCTGACTGTCTTTTTGCAAGAAGTTTAAGATTTTTTAGAAACTTGCATTAGCTCTACTTACTGAGGGACTTTTATCTTTATGTGGATGTAGTGGTCTCCGTAGCCATAACTGTTGACCTTGGGAATGCCTTTCCCACTCATTCGAATTCTCTGGTCTGGCTGAATACCAGGGGGTATCTATAAACACAGATGCCACATTTATTACTTTAGTTTAACCATTTATATAGTAATTAGGTGTCTATAAAAATTATCTACTTCACCAGCAAGCTTCAAAGTAGGATGGGAGAGCTCTGGTACACTCAGGACACATGCTGAAGCTGTGTCAGTAACGATGGAAAAGCTTTTCAAGGAATGAGTAAAGAACCTGGCACGGTAGCCCTTGGATGGGATTTGTCCAGCAATCCCTTCCTTTCCCTGTCCCTTCACAGTGACAAGAAAGGAGCTGTGACACAGCAGGTCACAAGCTACCCGAGGCTCAATCCTGAAGGAATCTGAAACACGATACTGGCAGACTTGGGAGATTTTCCCCACCTTTGCAGCAAAGGAGAAGCCTCTCCTTTGCCCCATCGATTCATGCCCAACATAATGGTACTTACTGTGATGTTGATTGTCTCATACAAGCCTTGACATCGGGCTGTGCCTCCCAGCACAGCCTGTGCTACTGAGATCGGGAGATCCGAGTGGATATCTGCTCCATTCCTTCTGAACACAGAACTTTTCTGAACCTAAAAGGCAGGGAAGTTCCAAGGTGAAGTGAGCACACCACCACAAAGTTCTCCCAGTAAACTGCTCTGAAGGGTCTCAGAAGAAAATAAACCAGCCAGACCCTTTATACCATCCACAAACTGCTCATCTAAAGAACTATGAGTTAATATTTGGTCTTTTAGAAAAACACAGATCTTGACACAACCATAATTAAGCCAAAAGCTTAGGAGGATCCCTGCTTCCTGCCTCAGCACCTCCCTTCCCTAATGCTGCTATTAAATTATCTGTGTCAATATGGTTCTGCAGAGACAGACACTGCCTTCTCCAAGTATCCTGAACAGAAAGCCAGAAGGGAAGAGGGAGGGAAGCACCTCTGCAGTGGCCTCACAAGCTGGAAGAGAATTAAATCCTCCTGCACCACAAAAGAGGTGTTGAAAAAAATTTTCTCCTTGACAGAGATGTGTGTGACAGGATTCTGCAAGGAGAAGAGGCCCAGCTACAGCACAGGTGCAAAGCAGCCCTGAAGGTGGATCTGCTGGAGGACACTCGACCAGCCAGCCTGCTGCAGGCATTCCCACAGCCCTCTTCAGCACTCTCATCCCTGCCTGCAGGCAGCTCCTTCACATTTCCAAGTCAAAAACTCGAGGCATGAAGAACCTGCTCTGCATTTTTATTCACACTACCCTAAGGGCCTGGTCCTGGAACAAGCAGCTGGATTCTTCATGAGCAGATTCAAAGTGACCCCCCTTGTTACAATGCAAATCTCCTGCTGTCTCAGAAAGTTCACATGGATCGTGTTACATCAGATATTCCAAAGGATCACTCACTCTTCCTCCTCTGCCCATTCTGCAGCCACTTCCCAGGCAGCTGAGAAGGGAAAAAACAACTTACACACATACAACTTACAATACATACCCTGAACGTAATGAAAATTTCCTTCTTCCCCACAGGCATCCGAACTGTCTGCCCATCCTCAACTCCTGCGATTGGAACAAGAAGGAATGTTACCTTGGGTTATAATCCATGTGTTACATGTGTATCTACAACCCTGCCAAACCCCAGAGCTGCCCACCACTGCAGCACATGCACATCCTGGAGCACAAGGCATGAGATCTCCCAGAAGGCATCACAGTGACACTCTACAGGAGCTGTGGCCCAAGGAAGAAGGTATTTATACCTCTGAGGGGATCACTGCACCCCAAGCAGGCTCATTGGTTCAATCCCTACAGAATTCTTCAGAGAAATGCATCAGATTAAAGAACACAGCAGCCTCCACGAGCTGCAGGAAAACTCCAGGCTGCTCACCCAGGGTGGTCTCAAAGAAGTCTTCAATCCCACCACTGTCTCATCCTCTCTGGTGAGGAAGGCCATCTGCACACCCTTCTGAGCCAAGCCAAGGCTTTCAGGATTCCCACCCTCTCCCCACGCTTTATCAAGGACAAATGGAAGACCCATGGCAACAAAACCTTTGGAGAGTTTCACTCTTCAAAGCCTGCCTAGGAGGATCCAGACAAGAACCAAAGCTCAGGAAGGGCAAAGCAAACATTTCTATCCATGGCCAGAAGGTTCATCTCATCATTAGCCCGTTCCATTGACCTGCTTTGTCTGAAAGACAAACTTCTCTGCAGCAGAACTCCTTCCGTCGCTCTCCCGTTCGTACCTGTTGGCCAAGTGGCAGGAAATAACTACATTCATTTAACAGAGAGCAGCACACGAGTACAACACTGACCAGCTGGCACAGGAACCATCACTGTCTTCTTCTGCTTGGTTTGCCCCGTTCCCCGGCACACGACGCAGGGCGTGGTTATGATGGAGCCCCGGCCGCCGCAGCGCCGGCACGTGGATCTCATCACAAAGGGGCCCGTGTTTATCGTCTCCTGGGGAGGGAAACGGGTTGTACAAGCACTGAGTACCACGGTGGTACCTCTCACCCAGCATGTTCGAGTTCTAATCACACACACACACAGCCTGTAAGGACAGTAATATCCTTTAGCAAGGGCTGGAGCAGAAAGCTGGCTCTGAAATCCTAAGAGGATGCTGGGTGGGAGAAGCTGGATGAGGTTCTCTTGCCAGCGCATTCCGAATTCCACTGAACACCATCACTACTACAAACAAGGGGAAGGGAAACACAACACCTTCCATCTCCAGCCTTTAACGCACAAGAAGGAACAAAGCTCCTTACAGTGCTACAGACATCTGTGTTCTGAGGAATCCAAAGACAATCCACTTGCATGAATTACTGCCACTGTCCAGGAAAACGTTACGGAGACTAAGCTCTGGAGTGAACAGTGAGAGCAGCCTTCCAGACCGTAGCACATGAGGAATCAGATGCATGGAAACTCAAAGCCTGGCAGCTCCATTATTACCTGCATCTCCTTACTTCATGGTTACCCTGGGGCTATCATTACCTTCCTCCACCCCCAAGTCAAAGGATCCCATTTAATGCCCAAGGAATTTCAGAGCCGTTATGTGGCACGAATATGGTTTGTACAATAGCAGAGAATCCCTCCTGAAGGTCTGTGCTTTCAGCTGAGCACAGCACTCCTTTAACACCAAGACAATCTTCCTAGGGCTGATTATCATCAAGCTGACATTAACTCGGCTTTACCTGAGATCAGCTGTTGACCGGGGTGAGAATTTTTCACCACGGAATGAACTGATCTGCCCCAACAAGGAAAAGCACAGCAGAACTGGTGTCCTACAGAGCACTTACCATGCCTGTGCCGTTGCAGTAGTGACAGCGCTGCACTTTGGTGCCCGGTTCGTGCCCTTTGCCATCGCACCGCTCGCAGGAGTCTTGGATGTTCACCACAATCTCCTTGTTAACACCTTTTGCAGCTTGGGTGAACGTCAGTTCCATGATATACTGCACAGGAAACACGGATATTGATCTGTGAGTGATGTGTGATAGGGTCTTAAACAGACTGGTTTAGGCCAAATACCCAACAATGCTGAAAACAGATCCAGGTAACAGAGCGGGAGGAAGAACCAGTTAGGCAAACCCTTCTGAATGACTGTGCATCTAATCTGAAGAATCAATAATCTATCTCAAATAAATAAAAAAGGGATGCAAAAGGATCACAGACATTATAGGAATGATGGTTACACCAGGCTGATAAGCATCAGGTTGTGTGGCAGCAATGAGAATTTTTATGAAAATGCTGTGTAGCAGCAAAAAGATTTAAAAACAGAAAAGAAAGAAGTAAAAATAGAAGTCGAGTGTTTCCCTGCTCTCAGGAAAACCCTTTCTTTGTTTCTAAAGGTTTTGTTTCATGGGAATGCAGCAACAGGTGAGGCTGAAGGGTTTCCATCCCAATGGCAGTGGCTGCTCTTCCCCAATTAAGTTTTTCTTTGCCAAGTGAAGTCACCAGCAAAGATGACTGCACATAAGAGGACATTCTCTTTATAATAAAAAAAGTCACTTTTAGTAAAGCCAGAAGTACCAGAAACACTTGGTATTTGAAGACAGCACGTGAAATAAAGGAGCATTCAGCTGCAGCACAAAGAACAAGACACGTTCTATTATGGGCTCCACTGCAAAGTTAAACTAATTAAGTTGCAAAATTAAACCAATTAAGCAGCCAAACCTATCGCCGGAAGGCCTGGTTTACAGTTACAAGGTGTTCTGTGGGTTTTAGCATTACAGATCACAGCAGGCATATGCAAATCAACCTGCAGCAGCAAAGATGCCTCTACAGCAATGGAACTGTTGGGCAGCACCGACTGGTGTCAGTAAACACCAGAGGAAGGAGCTCAAGTCCAGAAAAAACAACTCTGTCTGGAGATGCAGCTTATGAAAAATTTGACTCTCCCCCCATGCCATGGGATACTCACAGACTGACATTCCCAGAAATAACTCTCTGCTGAAGCTCTTGCTCCCAGAGTGCTCTGTGACAGACCAGTGCGTCCCTCCCCAGCTTTTGAGTTTTTAATTCCACTTCTAAACAAAGGCACCTCCTACCTCCTGTGGCTGGTCAAAGACACTCTGAAAATCGCCGAAAGGAGATCCCGAAAACTCCCCAAAGATCTTCCGGAAAAGCTCCTCGGGATCAATGGAGGGGCCGCCGCTCCAGTACTGCCGCCCCGTGCCGGCGCCGGCCCCGGCAGCACCGGCCTCGAAGCTCGCCGTGCCATAGGCATCGTACTGCTTCCGCTTCACCTCGTCACTCAGCACCTGGGGGGGACAGAACAGTGCCATCTGGGCATGGTGCGGATCCCCAGGGCCCTGGAGAATCCCTGGCTCTGGCACTGCCCCCACGAGCCCAAGCTTATCAGACTCCCCTGCCATCGGGAGGGCTCGCTGAGCTCTCAGCACCACAAGCTGCTTCTTCCTCTCTTGGCTCAAAATCAGGAAAATGACAATCTTACTGATTTATAATAAGCAAGAATAATTTGCTTATTACGTAATCAGTCATTAATACATCAGGTGAAAGCTGGTAACAGTGCTGGGGTTAAAAAAAAAGAACAGGGCTTGGGGAAGAACAGTGAAGGTTCCTCTGTATCAAACACCTACGGACAGGTTTTTTATTTGATTATTTATTTTAAGCTCACAACGATCCCATGGAAGTGACTGCTGCATCCATGCCAGTGACTTACTCCTAAGGAAGAGCACAAACTGAAAGAGCCCAAAGCACCTAAACCAGATACTTGGGCCAAGTAATTTCCTGGAGACACCGTTAGGACAGAGGTGCTCCAGCCTGAAGTGCATCAAAAAACAGCCACGGTTTTACAGGAAATGTTTCCCCTCATCCACCCTCCAACCTTTCCTCCTCTTCATCACGATGAAATCCTGCTGTTACCTCGTAGGCTTCTGCCAGCTGAGAGAACTTCTCCTTCGCTTTGGGGTCATCCTTGTTTGTGTCAGGGTGGTATTTTTTTGCCAACTAAACAACAAAAACAAACCATTAGA